TATTAAAATGAGTTTTTATTGGCCCGAGCCATTTAACCTATGTTTGTTATAGTTAGCCCCTACATCAATCGGTGGCTCTTTGCCCATTGATATTATCTTCTAATCTAATCTACATAACCCTTTTCAACTTCTTGTTCAGTGTCTATTCTTGATTTTTTTTTTACCACTTTACTCCCTTCTATTTACATTAAAAGAATAACCCTATATATTCCCACAATATCCTTATATTCATTTTAGTTCAAAAAAGTAGTACTGATTTATTAATAACTGTACCACATTAATGACATAAGAGCACCCACAATGCATTGTCGCGCCTCCACAAAGAACGGCGGGTCTCGGCTCAACGGCCACAGGCTGTCGCACCCCTATTTTCCTGCACGGAGGTGCAATTCCCTTGGTCACGGCGGCTGTCGCTGATCAAGGAAATGCAATCGATGGTCGGCTTGCGAAGCACCTTACCTACTATAGTTGCGGCAAGACGGGGCATATCGCGGCCAAATGCTTCGAGATAATCGGTTACATGGAATGGTGGGGCACCGGGGACGGCGGACGCAGTAATGGTTCTGGTCGGGGCGGCGGCCGGAGTGGTGGCGGAAAGCGCGGGGGTGGGGGAAACCAGACACGTGCTCATGCGGCCTTGGGTGGTCCCCCCAATATGTTGGGCAATGAGGCTAACAGATCCGGTTCTGCGAGCGGAGCGGTCTTGAGTGAGTCGGATCGCGCCGCGATCTCTGGTTTGTCCAATGCTCAATGAGAGTCCATTGTCAATCTCGTTCATTCGGCTCGCAGTAATTCTCCGCTTTTTGGTAAGCACATCATTTTTTATTGGATGTATATTGCGGTGCGTCGCTCCATATGACTGGTTTTCTGGAGTTCTTTTCTGATCTTAAGGACATATCACCATGTTCCGTGCAATTACCTAATGGCACGGTTCTACTGCTAATCAAGCTGAGACAGTCAAACTTGGGTCCCATATTATTCTTTCCAATGTACTTTTCGTCCCTAATTTTCGGTGTAGATTGATATCTTTATATCAGTTGTTGGAACAGGTTGGGGCCACGTTTAATAATAAATTTGCTATTCAGGACCATACTACGAGTATGATTATTGGAGCGGGTGAACAGTTGGGGGGACTGTACTTTTTTCGAGGGACAGTAGCTGCAGACGCTTCACGAGTGACGATAGTCTCTACTGATTTATGGCATCGACGGATGGGCCATTCTTTTCCCTCAGTATTTGCTCAGTTTTTTTTATTAACTCTGGTTCTTCGGCGTCAAATAAAGCATGTGATGTGTGCCATAAAGCTAAGCATTCGCGTGCTAGTTTTCCTATTAGATAGTACTGCTGATGACATTTTTGCACTTATTCATTGTGATTTATGGGGACCCTATCGTGTTCCAGCCTTTAGTGGAGCACGATAATTTTTTACTATTGGGGATGATTACTCTCGTGCAACTTGGATTTATTTGTTGGATGATAAAGGTGTTGTTTCGTCTATTTTGTTGATTTTCTTTGCTCAGGTGAAGCGCACCATAAGAGGGTTAGCCCAAGTGAGGTTCCATCCCAAAACCAATTGTTGATGAAGGGAGTAACCCACTTGGCTTATAAACTAGGATCATTTACCCTATCAAATCAATGTGTGACAACTCATAAGTGATATTTCAACATGTCCCCTTACTTGCGAGCCCTTCATCAGCCCACGCCTCCAACTAGGTCGGGTACATTTTTCAGCCCACGCCTACTACCAGGCCGGGTACATTTTTAAACCCACGCCTACAACAAGGCCGGGTACCTTTTTCTTTTTTTTTTTTAAAAAAAAGCATCGCATGTCCCAAATTAGGCCCGCTCTGGTACCATATAACGGGGGCAAAATGAGTGCGGTTCCACACAGGTGAAGTGCACCATAAGAGGCTTAGCCCAAATGAAGCCCAAGTGAGGTTCCATCCCAAAACCAATTGGTGATGAGAGGAGTAGCCCACTAGGCTTATAAACTAGGCTCATTTACCCTATCAAATCAATGTGGGACAACTCAAGTGATATTCCAACAATATGCCATGTAGGAAATAAATATAGTCTATAATAAAATATCTCTCAATGGCGCAATTAAAATGGGACATGGTCTATCTTATGTAGCAATCAGAAAAAGGAGACAAGGTCCACTCTTGGGTCTATTTTGGACCAAAGTACAAACCTGAACAGTCAACATTTATTCTCGATTTAATTTTCTTTTAATATGTTAAACATACTAGAGCATTTTTATTGATTGCCACATATTCTAGACCTAATATATTATTTATGCATTGAATAGCTTTTGTGTTTTATTTACTTTAGTTTATCCATGTAATTCAGGACTTAAGTCAATTTAAATGCCACATATGTAAAATTGAACTCAAGACATTGTGGGTGCTCTAAATAGTTCCTACTTTGTTTATTAGCAGTACCTAGTCTCTTAGTACATTAGTTACTCTAAAGAGTACTTAGAATAAATTGAATAATACCAGACTCAACTTGCTTCCGTAAAAATCAATAACTCCATAATGTTCGTACCTTTTTTTTTATCTAAATGGTTCTGGGTAAGATGAATTGCAATTCCACCAATCGGAAAATTAGTGCCCCTAGTTCGTTTCACGAACAGTTCCTCACCGTCTAACTTTGGGAAGATGAACTACTAGTTATCCGACTTCTTTTTGACATCACTTAGGACATCCTTGGTTCATTTTCTACTCTAGATGTACAATAATATAATTATAGAGATAGATGAAAATTATGACAACACGTTGTAAAGCAAAAGCCCTTTTTTATTATAACTCATAATTTTATTACATTAGTACTTTCTTTTAGATAGGAGAAATTACTTTTATCTTCTCATAGAAGAGTCGTAGGTATAAACATAAATTTCTGGAAAATAGAAATACGATCTTAACACTCTGCATATTACATACTATTACAAAGATTTTATCATAGAGAGAAAGCTGAAGAGAATGAACGATGTCTTCTACTTCCTCCAAGCCTCCTTGTATAGGGGCTGAATCCTCTATTATTGTTTCCACCAACGCTAGGTGGATGCTATGCTTGATTACATGTTCTTGGGTCTGGGTTTTGATTGCTACACTCCTTTATTAAAGTGGCCCATGGTGTCTTGTTAGTGCTATTCTTTATGTTCGAATTTTCGTCCGTTTCTTCTTGAAAGAGAACATTTCTCTTTTTATATTGTCCCACCATTAACATGGTAGGTATCCGATTGCTTTCTTTTTGAGAATTCTATTTGGAAATTCCCTTCTTCGTCTCCGGGTTATCTGTGTGCTCCAAGCGTTCTCTTTTGACCGAAAAGTTTTTCGTTATTGATTTCTCCTGACTGAGTGAAGAAATGGAGGTTGACGGGTGCGTTCCAACGGACGTGAAGCGGACCAGAGCAGGGAGAGCCTAGATGGCCATAATGGGGTTCCATCCTAAAACCAATTGGTGGTAGGAGGCTGAGCCC